TTGCTGTTTTTCACCCGATTTCTCCCCCCCCCCCCCTGTAGTACTTATTGTGGCCCCGCCCTATCCCCAGAGGTCATAATTTGATCAATTGGAATCTACACTACCCCAGCATGCTTCCAAGTAAGTTTCAGCTTATCTGGCCCAGTGGTTCTTGAGAAGAAGATTTTTCCTATATATTTCAATGTAAAACTTGGATTCCCTATTATGGCCCCGCCCTACCCCCGGGGGTCATGATTTGAACAATTTAGAATCTACATAACCCCAGCATGCTTCCAAGTAAGTTTCAGCTTTTCTGGCCCAGTGGTTCTTGAGAAGAAGATTTTAAAAGATTTTTCCTATATATTTCAATGTAAAACTTGGATTCCCTATTAAGGCCCCGCCCTACCCCCGGGGGTCATGATTTGAACAATTTAGAATCTACACTACCCCAGCATGCTTCCACATAAGTTTCAGCTTTTCAGGTCCAGTGGTTTTTGAGAAGAAGATTTTAAAAGACTTTTCCTATATATTTCAATGTAAAACTTGGATTTTCTATTGTGGCCCCGCCCTACCCCCGGGGGTCATGATTTGAACAATTTAGAATCTACACTACCCCAGCATGCTTCCACATAAGTTTCAGCTTTTCAGGCCCAGTTGTTCTTGAGGAGAAGATTTTTAAAGATTTTTCCTATATATTTCAATGTAAAACTTGGATTCCCTATTATGGCCCTGCCCTACCCCCGGGGGTCATGATTTGAACAATTTAGAATCTACACTACCCCAGGATGCTTCCACATAAGTTTCAGCTTTACTGGCCCTGTGGTTCTTGAGAAGAAGATTTTTTAATGACCCCACCCTATTTTTGTCTTCTCTTGATTATCTCCCCTTGTGAGGGGACTTGGCCCTTTATTTTAACAATTTAAATTCCCCTTTACCCAAGGATGCTTTGTACCAAGTTTGGTCAAAATTGGCCCAGTGGTTCTTGAGAAGAAGTCAAAAATGTGAAAAGTTTACAGACGGACGGACAGACAGACGGACAGACGGACAGACGGACGACGGACAAAATGTGATCAGAAAAGCTCACTTGAGCCTTCGGCTCAGGTGAGCTAAAAATTTAATTACTCATTATATTTTTTTAATGAATGAAACTAAGGTGCAGCCTAATAAAACATCAATACTACATGTAATAATTACAGTACTAGTGTTTTTATTCCATTGAAAAAATAGTTTGCAACTATCTGTCATCTATGAGACATGACACTCTGAAATTGATTGTTGAAAAAAAAAATCATTATTAATTATACAAAATCAAATTGATCTTAATACCTTAATATCAAACTCATTTTAAAAATAAAAGGCTGGTTCCAGTATCTATGTATTTTGACAGACATAAATTACAATTAAGAGATTTAGACAACAGAGATCTTTATTTCTTTCTGCCTAATTCCCAGGAGATATCGATAGATAAGATCTGCTTGATCAGAGATGCCCCAACAGCTTCCCACACTGAACTCATTAATTAATCTTTAACTGGATGCATGTCTACTCATTACTCCCAAGGGACAAATGGATTTACACTGTCTGCTGTGTAATGTAAAATCTGTTTTAATACTTTGTGATTTTTTTTTAGTTCTAATGAGTAGTTTTAAGCTGTAGTTCACATTTTTGTACAGATGCTCTAGATTCTATGTCTCAAACCTTAGACATGAACCCGAAATGACTAAGTCAATAAAAATGAAAAAAAAAAAAAACACCTGTAAAATGCAGAAAAATTATCAAATAATATTGAAAATACCAGGTGCATATCTTCACATGGTAAATAATAAGTGTACAATTTTCATACAAATCTATGCAATAGTCTCTGGGAACAGATCCCGACAAAACCACATAATAAAAAAAAAAAAACACCTGTAAAATGCAAAAAAAATTATCCAATCATGATGAAAATACCAGGTGCACACCTTCATATGGCGAATAATAAATGTACAAATTTTCAGACAGATCCTTGCAACGGTTTCCAAGAAAAGATGTGGACAAAATTTCGTCTACAGACAGACGGACATGCTGAATCCAATATACCCCCTAAACTTCGTTTGCGGGGGGTATAATAATAAAACCAATAGCAATATAGAATATTTCTCTATAGTAAAAATTTAATTACTCATTATATTTTTTTAATGAATGAAACTAAGGTGCAGCCTAATAAAACATCAATACTACATGTAATAATTACAGTACTAGTGTTTTTATTACATTGAAAAAATAGTTTGCAACTATCTGTCATCTTTGTAAGACATGACACTCTGCAAATTGATTGTTGAAAAAAAAAATCATTATTAATTATACAAAATCAAATTGATCTTAATACCTTAATATCAAACTCATTTTAAAAATAAAAGGCTGGTTCCAGTAACTATGTATTTTGACAGACATAAATTACAATTAAGAGATTTAGACAACAGAGATCTTTATTTCTTTCTGCCTAATTCCCAGGAGATATCGATAGATAAGATCTGCTTGATCAGAGATGCCCCAACAGCTTCCCACACTGAACTCATTAATTAATCTTTAACTGGATGCATGTCTACTCATTACTCCCAAGGGACAAATGGATTTACACTGTCTGCTGTGTAATGTAAAATCTGTTTTAATACTTCGTGATTTTTTTTTAGTTCTAATGAGTAGTTTTAAGCTGTAGTTCACATTTTTGTACAGATGCTCTAGATTCTATGTCTCAAACCTTAGACATGAACCCGAAATGACTAAGTCAATAAAAATGAAAAAAAAACACCTGTAAAATGCAGAAAAATTATCAAATAATATTGAAAATACCAGGTGCATATCTTCACATGGTAAATAATAAGTGTACAATTTTCATACAAATCTATGCAATAGTCTCTGGGAACAGATCCCGACAAAACCACATAATAAAAAAAAAAAAACACCTGTAAAATGCAAAAAAAATTATCCAATCATGATGAAAATACCAAGTGCACACCTTCATATGGCGAATAATAAATGTACAAATTTTCAGACAGATCCTTGCAACAGTTTCCAAGAAAAGGTGTGGACAAAATTTCGTCTACAGACAGACGGACATGCTGAATCCAATATACCCCCCTAAACTTCGTTTGCGGGGGGTATAATAATAAAACCAATAGCAATGTAGAATATTTCTCTAAAACTCTTATAACATCTCGGATCGACAAAAAATTTCAGAGTACTGCAGAAGAGGTCTGATAGAAAGTTTCTTGAAAGTTTTACGGTGAATCTCTAAAGTATATAGATATTATTTTATCGACAAACACTACATTTTTTCGTATCTGAAATTTAGGTGCTGCTGAACATAAAAATGAATTAAAGCTTTTATTGGTTATTTCTTTAGTTGTTGTGAATAGCATTCTATTCTTTTCATATGATGATGTTTAAATACCAAGCATTCTTGATTTTTTAGTATGTGGAATTTATTTCAATTTTTATTAAGAATTAATATTCCTTGAATGAATCTTGAAAATAGCCGATTTTTCCTATCGAATAAACTTTAATGCTCTCATTGAAACCTTTTTCTTCCTAAAATGTATGTCTGAAATTTAATTTATGCTACTAACTTACATTTAATTCAACCCACACAGAGATGCTTATTTTAATCTTACCTATTATTTCAGGATATTCAGTCAATTCGCTGAACCTGACATTTTCATATATTTGTAAACAAAGTCTAAACACGGCATTTCTAATGTATCAGGCTCTAAATAATTAACTCTGTTCATTCAAAGTATACACCAACTCAAATAAACTGTTTTTACGGTAATTTTATATTTTTATTATACAACAATAGTGTTTCTCAAAACTATTTAATTCTGATTACTACATTGTACAACAAACAAATCTCCACATGTTTTTATTCCTAACCAATTACTTTACTATGTACATCTTCATTGGAATATGTGGTCTTGTGTAAGCACGCCTGTCCTTTGACCCAAGGGTTTTGGGTTCGATCGTTGCTGGCGGTACATGGGGGGGGGGGGGCATTTTTGCATTTTTTCTGCTCTCTTCAAGCCAAATGACACGGAAACAGGAAAAAGGTGGAGTGACCTCTAATTGTCCTCTGAACGATTAGTATACTAGTTTTTAAAAAAATCACTTGTCCCCATAGACTTCAATGCAATCACTGTTAATTAATTACTGTTTAGTTAATTATATTTTTGAGACTTTCTCTTGGTAAATCCATATCTACTGTAAAGCACTTTAAGTTGTAAGTTGTACAAAGTTCCCTTGTAAGAACCTGATCATACCTGTTACATTGGAAATATCTTTCTAATCTTCTTCTCAAGAACAACTAAGCCATTATTAGTCATATTTATACAGAAGCAACCTTGGGTATTGTAGAATCAAGTTTGTTCAAATTATGACCCCACAGGGGATTGGGGGGGGGGCACAACAGAGGATTGAAGTTTTGCATAAGAATTATTATAGGAATCATCTTGATAAAATCTGCAGCTCAAGAACAAGAAAGCCATGATTAGTCATACATGTATTATTATAGAAGCATCCTCAGGTAGTGTAGATTCACATTTGTTTAAATTTAGGTTGGTAGGGTAGGGCCACAATGAGCGATCAGAGATTTACATAGGCATACATAGTAAAAAAATCTTCCGTTTAAGAACAACATAGCTATGATTAGTAATATTGATAAGGAAGCATCCAGAAGTAGTGTAAATTTAAGTTTGCCCCCCTCCCTCCCCCGTTCAATATTGAACTTCTGCTTCCTCCTAGCCACTGTGCTTGGGTGAGTGTTGTGGCTCATGGGCCTCTTGTTTTTCATTTTTTGAAGAAAACTTATTAACCCAGTGGCCAGGAGTAAGCCTAATCAAAGGAGAGCACAACATGATGATAATATTATTAACCCAGTGGTCAAAAAATTTTTGACATACAGATGACACACTGAGAAGGAAAGGGATTACTAAAGGTCATCTGCATATCCTTACAAGTCATAATAATGCAAAAATAGTGCTACTTACTTCACAATGTTAGTGAATATTTCTTTGGAAGAGCGAGAGTCTTAACAGTAAGTCAAGCAGCATTCCTCTCTCTTCTGCAATCATCATGTTGTATGGTTTGGTGTAGTAAATATATGCCTTTTCTGATGTCAAGTATTCATTGCTGACAAGTTTGTCAAAATGCTGGATATCCATCTCAAGGACTGTAAAAATAATCTGAAAAATTCTTATTTTTAATAAGCATTATAATTAATTCATAATTAATTGTTCTCGTGATGAACTATCCTGATTATACAAAAGTTTAAGTAGGAGAAACAAAAGAGGCCCATGGGCAACAATGTTCAACTGAATTACTTAAGCCCTGCTGTTCTTTGGATTTTAAAAAGATTTTATTTTCCCTAGAGAGAAAAGGTTCTTGAGAAAATCTTTACAAATTGTTTCCTTTATATTTCAATGTAAAAATTTTATTCCTTATTGTGGCCCCACCCTAACCCCTAGGTCCATTAGTGTAAAAAACAAGAGACCCACGGACCTTAGAGGTCACTTGAGTATCATGTAACACTTTCCAATTGAATTTGGTTCTTGTTTTAAACCAGAGGCCATGAAATTCACAATTTTGAATGAGGCACCATTGCTCATCATAACTATACACGAAGCATGCTTTAAGACTGATTACTTAATACACAGAAGCAGACTAGGGGAACAAAGAAAACATAGGTAATCAAAGATTACAAAGCTCAACTTGACGAATGTTATCTTTAGGTAAGGCAAATTTCACATCATATTCTTTTTTTAGTAAGTGTACATTCCAAGATCAATATCTATGCAAGTTTGGTTTAAGTACGACTTACAGTTACTTGGAAATAGACTTGTTCAAAAAACGTTTATCCTGTTTACTAATCAAGAAAACTTTAGTCAGTTCCAACATCTAAAGTAAGTCTGGAAGTTTTCGTCCTTAGATGCACCATCTATGCAAGTTTAATCATAACAGGCCATAATGTTATATAGCTACTCCAAAAAAATTATCCTGGTCACTCATCTGGAAAATGTAGGTCAAACTTCGAATCCAAAGCAAGTCTGTAAGTAACCATCCCTAGCTACATCATCCATGCTAATTTGGTTAAAATATGGCTAAAATTCACTCATGTGGAAAATCTAGATCGAATCCAGCATCCCAAGCAGGTTGGTTAGCGTACATCCCTAGATGCATCATCCATGAAAGTTTGGTCAAGGTAGAGTTTATAGTTACTTGAAAATGGAACTGCTCCAAAAACTTTAACCTGGTCACTCATCTGGAATATCTAGGTCAGATCTAGCATCCGAAGGAAGTCTGGTAGAGTCCATCCCTAGATGCATCATCTATGCAGGTTTGTTCAATGTAGAGCTAATAGTTACTTGGGAATGGATCTGCTCCAAAAACTTTAACCTGGTCACTCATCTACAAAATCTAGGTCAGAGCCAGCATCCAAAGCAAGTGTGGTAGTGTCCATCCTAGATGCATCCTCCATGCAAGTTTGGTCCTGGTAGGGTTTATAGTTACTTGGGAATGGACTTGCTCCTAAAACTTTAACCGGGATGCCAACGCTAACGCCGGCGCCGGGGGTATAGCATAAGCTCATCTCGACTTCGTCAAGGTGAGCTAAAAATGCATTTCCATTAATCAGTAATAATCAGTATTACCCCCACCCCACAGGAGCCCCTGACCCTGGGGCCACACATTTCACAATTTTGGAAAAGGCACCCTTGCTCATCATAAATATCTGATTAACACCAAGGAGCAGATTTCAAAGCATTAATCCATTTTCAGTATATAATCATTAGAGCACCCCCTACCCCTAACCCAGGGGCCTTGAAATTCACAATTCTGGAATAAGCCTTAAGGATCCTTGTTCATCGTAACTATATACTTAGATCATCAGCATACTATATAATCATTAGAGCCCCGCCCTTACACCAGAACCCCCGACCCGGGGACCATGAAATTCAGAATTTTGTAAGAGGCACCTTTCCTCATCCTATTTATGTACATAGTTGAATTATTTAATACCAAGGAGCAGAGGAGAAGATTTTCAAACAATTCATGCCTTTTCACTATATAATCATTAGAGCCCTTCTCTAACACCAGAACTCCTGACCCTGGGGACATGAATTTCACAATTTTGGTAGAGGGCTCAAAGCTGATTACAATCATGCCAACAGTTTGACTGCTTGATGTCCAGGTAAAGAAGAAGATCTTTAAAGATTGCATTTATTTTGATGGTTTTAGCCCCACCCCTCAGGCCCAAGGGGGCAGGGGACATGAAATTCAAAATTTTTACTCCCCTTCATCCATAGATACTATATGCCAAAATTGGTTGAAAGTGGTTCAGTGGTTTCAAAGGAGAAGCTGAAAATGTTTAAATGTTAACACAACGGATGAAAACAGATAGCAATAGGTCACCTGAGTAAACTCAGGTGACCTAAAAAAAATTGGCCCAAGGGCCTTGAATCACTCTTCTGATAAATTGTACAACTTATCACTTCTATTTGGAGCCTCTATGTATCCTATGTATTTAATTAAAGCCTTGGAATTCCAGAAGAAGGTAATTGTGACCTACATTTTGGTTAAAACATTCTGAAAACCCGATTCATCAACTAAAAAAAAATTGATGAATCAAAGCCACTTGTTATCTTGTACATCCAGATACAGCTATGAAATTTCAAAATTAGGTTACTGTGACCTACTTTTAAGTTGACATTCTCTGAGGACTTAAGATGCATCAACTGACAAAGTTTGATGATTCTAAGTCTCTTATTATTTGAAATATTTAAAGTTACACAATGAGTCAAAATCATGTGTTTCTTTTAAGATAATTGTATCATAAAACAAGAAAAATTATATGAAATATGACTAAAGCGAGGTTTTGACAACTCAACTGCACTGTAAAGCAAGAAAAGAACTGCAAAATATAAGTGCCGGAAAAACAAAAGTTGTATCTACCGCTTTGTTGTTATCGTCAATGTCAACAATGTCAAGGTCGAGCGACTTTTATTTTTAGCGAGCAAACAGAAGTGAGAAATAAGTTCTAATCAACTTTATTAAAAATTGTATCAAAATTCTGGTCATCTCATTTATATCTATGGAATTGACACCATGGTAAATTCACCTTTTCTGCGCATGCGTACAATAAAGAGGAAGAAGTGAAGCAATTATTTTTACTTTTATTTTTCTCCAAAACAGTACATTTTTTAGGTTCTGAAACCTGTAATTTTCTGAAACCTAGTATCTTCAAGAATTGAATAAAATATGCATGTGTCATCCAAAAATTCTACTTTTGTCAGTTTCCCCCTTTTTCCGTCACAGCGTCACTTTAAAAATGCAGTTTTTAATTGACACTTTCTGAGGAAACAAAATACATCAGCTGACAAAGTTTGATGATTCTATGCCAATAAATGTATCTGAAATATTTTAATATAACCATAAAATTCCAAAAGTAGGTAACAGTCACCTACTTTTCAGTTGACACATCAGGGATTTAACAATGTTGATTTAAGTAATGGTTAAGGTACCTTTCCCCTTTGAAATATCACAATTTCCCTTTTAGTGACAGAAATTCTCCTGAAGACGATATACAGAGTTAAAGTATTATACAGTCTTCGGACTATGCACTTCCTCTCTTTTGTCATCAATTGGTAAAAATTGTATGATGTGAAAGTTTTCAAATACTTCATTGATTGAAATGCTGTTCAAGACAAGGGAGATAATTTTCTGGTGAACTATTTTTCATATGACTTAACAATTTTTCAAGATTTTCAATCGTAAAAAAAAAATCAACAAAACAAACAGGAATATGACAAAAAAAATAAATACAAATAACACTATTTTTTATAGAAATTGCATGCAAATTTTACAGCTTGTATTTATTCCTTTTTCTTCATTTTGCAGTTTTTTCTCGATCAATCAGATGCTTGGCTTTCTCCAAAACCTCTGACCAGAGTCAGAGTTTACAGAGAGAGCATAGGGCTAATGTACGTAACAAGAGGCCCAAGGGCCACAATGCACATCTTGACTCACATTGGTCCTGCTGTTCTTCATCACATTTTTCCCACTGTATAATTTTGATTCCCTTTTGTATCCCCACCCTACCCCTGGGGGGCCATTAAAATTTAAACAATTCAGAATCTACACTACCTTAGGAAGATTTCACATAAGCTTCACATTTTTCTGGCCCAGTGGTTCCTGAGAAGATTTTTCCGATATATTTCAATGTAAAACTTTGATTCACTAATATGGCCCCACTATATCCAAGGGACAATGATTTGAACAATTTAGAATCTACACTACCTCAGGAAGCTTCCACATAAGTTTCACCATTTCTGGTCTAGTGGTTCTTGAGAAGATTTTAAAAAGTTTTTCCTATATATTTCAATGTAAAATGTTGATTCCCTATTGTGGCCCCACCCTACCCCTGGGGGCCATGATTTAAACAAATTAGAATGTACACTACCTCAAGAAACTTCCACATAATTTCACTATTTCTGGTCCAGTGGTTCTTGAGAAGAAGATTTTAAAAGAGTTTTCCTAAAAAAGCTGATGCAGAAATGCAAAGCCAATATATGGTCAAGAATAATACGGCCTGATACATGGAGGTGTAGGTCAGTTTACTCTTTAAGACTCCCTGCAAAATTCAAAAAGTATGTCACTACTTTTTGATAAATATGTTTTAATACCTTAAGATGTATCCACTGAAAAGTTTTGTTGATTCTAAACCCCTCAGTATCTGAAATAATTACATTAAATGTTTTGAAAATGGTAAGCCATAAAATTCAAAAAGGTCATGGTGACCTACTTTTTGGTTGACAAACTTCAAGGCCCCATAATGCATAAACTGACAAGTTCTGATGATCATCATGATCACAGGCTTCAAAATGTCCAAAATATGCATCAAAATCATATTGGAAATGAATACATGCAAAATTCAAAGAGTAGGTCACCATGACCTTGAGTCAACATGAGATGAGGTCCTAATATGCATCAATCTCATGGGCCATGATTTGAACAATTTAAAATCTATGCTACCTCAGGATGCTTCCACATAAGTTTCAGGTTTCCTGGTCAAGGGGTTCTTCTTCAGATTTTTCCAATATATTTCTATGGAAAACTTTGATTCCCTATTGTGGCCCCACCCTACCCCTTGGTTTCAACTTTCCTGTTTCAGTGGAAGAAGATTTTTTAATGACCCCTCCATTCTTTTTGTTCTTGATTATCTCCCCTTGGAAGGAGGCTTTGTCCTTTATTTTAACAATTTAGAATCCCCTTTACCCAGGAATGCTTTATATAAACTTAAATCGACACGGTTGTTCTTTAGAAGAAGTTGAAAATGTGAAAAGTTTACATATGAATGGGCAGAGAGACAGATAGATGGACACCAGACAACAGGTGATCAGAAAAGCTCACTTGAGTTTTTAGCTTAGGCGAGCTAAACAAGAGGCCCAAGGGCCTTAACAGTCACCTGAGTATAATGTAATGATCCATAGATTAAAACAAAATAAGCTGATGTTGCCAAAAAGCAAGAGAAATAGGATGATCAGGGATCAGCAAAATAATAATTTAGTACTCAATAACAAATATTAAAGTTGATCTATTTATTTGCCTGTACTTTCCCCCATTTGTCACTATCCTCATGTGTACTAAACAAAACAAGAGAGCACTATTAGTTAACACATCTCATCCCCCTTGCATTGGCCTCTCTTGGTCTTTAAAGATTATTTTCTGTACAAAGATAAAGTATTTTTGTCCCATTTTCAATTATCTATTATTTAAAAGTTTATCTGACCATTAAGAACTATGAAAGTATTCTTGCATTAAATATTATAAAATTTCTTGTATAATTCTGTTATTCAATTGACCTTTTAAGTTACATTGTGTAAAGGAGAAAGGCCAAAAACTGTCCATTCTGTGAGAGAAAGACCTAATTGAGGGCCGTAGGCCCGAGATTAGTTCTTTCTCTCACAGAATGGACAGTTTGAGGCCTTTCTCCTACTTAAAACATGATTTCCTTTGTTTTGAAAATTAAATAAGAAAATTTACAAAACTGGTATCAGATGTGACAGGTAGAACACATACAATGACAAATGCATTGTTTACAAAATGGACAGTCATAGGTATAGTCCCTGAAATGTTCTACTTTCTGACTTGAACAGTGAGCGAACGGTGAACGAACGAAGAGTGAACAGTGAGTGAATGATGTGTCAATGCTGAATGTAACTTGGTGAATGGTAAGCCAAAAAATAAATAAATAAAATAAATGTTTCAAAATTTGCCTAAGAATGATGATACATGCACACTAAGTAAAACTATTAATTTGAGTTTTTTACGATATTTTCTGCACATATGTATGATGTTAAAACTTTTGAATCATGCAATTTTTATCGCTGTAAAACATTGTAATTGTTACCGAACACTGTAGTATAAAAGATAAAATTATTGTAGTTGTAAAGTAAATATGTTTATTCTTACCTGGTATATAAAATCATAACAAACAATGTGTATTTTAGAAGGGAAAATTACTGACTTACAGAATGAATTACAACAGTTGTAACAACCATATTTGTATTTCCGTGCTAAGGCGATTCCGTGTAAAACAATAAGAGAAAAAAATATAAAATATTTGACAAAGGTCCGTGGACGTATTGCATAAATACACTCGCATTTTAAAATTTTAATGCAGTAAAATATTTATGTGTCATTTCTATTTTTTATGATGATTCATTGAGCAGACTTCTACATGTATCTGTAGACATTTCCCAGTGATTATACTCAGATAAGATGATATAAAGAGGCATTCATATTATTTGTTATAGATTAAATTTTCAGAACTTGATACATGTATAAAAGTAATATGCTGTCATGGTTTTATCAAACAGAAAAATGAGAGAGAGAGCGAGAGATGTTACGTTTTAGCCCCCCCCCCCTTCTCCAAATGTTTGTACAGACCCTGAAACGTGCTACTACCCCAAAAAAGTGTGTGACTTTTGTGCGCTTTCCATTTCGTAGCGTTTCATGTAAACCGTGCAGCGTTTCGTGCAAACCGGGTAGCATTTCGTGTAAACCATGCAGCGATTCATGTATGCTCCAAAGCATTTCGTGCAAACCGTGCGACTTTAGTGTAAGAACCGTGTGAGAAACGTGCAACTTTCCTGCAAGAATCATGTGAGAAACGTGTAGGATTCATTCGGAAGTCCTTTTTATTTTAAATATGGCTATTGATGGATCAACATGTCATTCTGTGTTGTTTGTAACATATTATTCGGATATGTAATACCAGTGGTATTTTAAGAGTGAAAAAAATTACGGAAACAACAAAATAAAATTACTTGGTAAAGTATTACATATTTGTTTGATTTTCTTTCTTCTTTATTTCAATAAAGATGGACAGAAAATGTGTTAAAAGTAATTAATTATATGCACATCAATTTTAAGGTAAATTATTCAATACATTTTTTTAAGGGAACAATACTGAATATTTCTTTATAAGAAAACTCATTAGGAATCCGGTCTTGTCCTTTTCATTCATTTATTTGAATCTCTTCACCATTTTACAATTCTGGGATATAGAGATTACAAGAACATTTCGAAGATTTATACAAAATAAAAGATAGATATGGCAGATGTAAAATAAAATGCAAAATTTAGGGATATAAATGTGAAGTATTGGAATTCTAGACAGGGGAGTACAGTTAATCAATTTTCTGTTATTTACATGTAAATTAAAGAGTATTTATTGTCTCTGGTTTTATTTTCCCCTTGAACACATTCCAAAGTTTACCTGTAACTCTCGATTCTGTTTGTTTTAACTGTCCATTCTTTTTAAAAACTCTCCATTCTTAAAAAGAATGGAGTTTTCCAAAAAGAATGGACACTTTCAGGCAACTTCATGGATTGTTTGAGAAGTTGGCTCAACATTAAGCTACAGAATGGACAACACAAACAAAAGGTTGATGTCACAATCATATTTTAATTACAGTGATTAACTATTATAGGTGAATAGCAAAGGGGAATAACTTTTTTCAGTAAAAATTAATAGACCAAATGGTACAGAATTTCAAAATCTGGTAGTAAAACCCCCCTGCGTATTACAACATTATATACTATATTTGTCTCTTAGATGCCCAGGAGCTGAGAAGATTTTCAAGACAATAATCCATTTTCACCGTAGATTCTATAAAGCTCCACCCTAATACCAAAGCCCCTGACCTAGGGGGCAAATATACTCACAATTTTGGAAGAGGCACTCTTGATTATCATAACCATGCACCTAGTTTATCTTCTTTACATACAGGGGGAGAGAAGCAGATTTTTAAAGAATTTATACATTTTCAATATATGATCAATAAAGCCCCGTCTTAAAACCAGAACCCCTGACCCAGGGGCCATGAGATTTACAATTTTGGAAGAGGCACCATTCTTCATCATAACTATGTACTTAGTAATCTGCTTAATGCCCAGGAGCAGAGGAGAAGATTTTCAAAGAATTAATGCACTTTCACTATATAATCATTAGAGCCCCGCCCTAACACTAGAACTCCTGACCTAGGGGCCATGAAATTCGCAATTTGAAAGAGGCCCCCCTCCTCATCATAACTATGCATTTAGTTTGTTTGCTTAATACCCAGTCGCAGAGGAGAAGACTTTTAAAGAAATAATGCATTTTGACTAAATATTCAACAGAGCCCCACCCTAGCACCAGAACTACTGACCCTGGGGCCATGAATTCCACAATTTTGGTAGAGGGCTCAATGATTATTATAATCAGTCAGGGGTGAGACTGAAATCAGTCATATTTAAAAATGATTGATAATTGTCATTTCTTCTAACTACATAAGGTACATGTTTTTATTATTTTTGTAAATATGACTTGTTTTCATCATATTTCCATTCCCAAGTGAATTCTTCCAACCCATTTACTACAGTAATAAGATAAAGTACACTATCCTGCCATGGACCCATGTGTAGAGAAACATCTTGACTAACAACTGAAACCAAAATAAATTAGTGCGCCCCGTAAAACTAACGAGATAATTAAGTGCGCCCAGACCTAACAATTTGATGAAAAATGATGAAATACAGTCATATTTAGTTTTAGAAATAACTCTATATTTTAAAATAAACTCCAAATAGTTATGGCTGTTTTTCATCATTATTCTACAAAATGATGAATTTTAGTCATTTTTAAAACTCAAGTTTATGACTAGAAATCATCATTTTTAAAAATGATGATTTTCAGTCTCACCCCTGACTGATAATCAGGCCAACAGTTTGACTGCTTGATGTCCAGGAGAAAAGATTTTTAAAGATTGCATAAATTTTAGTGGTTTTTGCCCCACCCCTCAGGGGTTGGGAGGGACAATGAAATTCACAACACTGTGCCCTGGCCATATTCAAATTCTGAAATGTGCAGATTTAAATTCTTTTCTAATAACATATTTTATGATCTGATAATTTGATCAACCATTCCCTTACCTCAGTTTTCAAGCATAAAGCACCAAGAACATATGGCTTAAAGAAAGAAAACGGACTTTCTACAATCAACTCTCCACCATGCTGGCCTAACACCTTATCATCAACTTCCATTACTATGTTAAAATCTTTATCCTCTCTATTCACCCATTTCTTTTCTCTCTTTAACTGAAATTAAAATACATCAAATGTTACATTTACCGTATATACTTGCCTATAAGTTGGTTTTTTGCGAGTTAAACTTTGGTCCAAAACTCTTTAACCGACTTATACGCGAGTTATAAAAAGACTGGTATTTCAGCAGGTAAATCCTTTTAAGCTTAAAAAATACAACCAACTTATAGGCGGACCGACTTATAGGCGAGTATATATGGTAAGTCTATCGGCCACATCGCTCACCTGAGCACCTTGGCTAGGAAAATGCAGAAACCAGTTCAGCATTTAACAGTTTACAGAAAGGGGTGGAGGTGGATAAACTTGAATTTACACTACCTCAGGATGCTTTCATATCAATATTACTAATCATGGCTTTGCTGTTCTTGTGCAGAATATTTTTAAATATTTTATTTCCAATGTACTACTATGTTAAACTCTGACTGCTCATTGTAGCCCCACCCTACCCACCTGAGATTTGAACAAATTGGATTCTACAATACCTAAGGTAGTTTTTGTATAAATGTGACTAATAATGGCTTAGTTGTTCTTCAGAAGAAGATTTTGAAACATTTCCTACCCACTGTTGTGGCCCTGCCCTATCCCGGGGGTCATGATTTAAACAAACTTGAATCTACACTACCTGAGGATACTGCTTTATTAATACGACTAATCATGGCTTATCTGTTCTTGAGAAGAAAATTTTTAAAGATATTTCCTATAAATTCCTATGTAAAACTTTGGACCCCTGTTGTGTCTGCCCCCCCCCAACCTTTCCCCTCCTCCAGATGTAACAATTTGAACAATTTGAATCTAAACCTATTCCTATGGTAAACTTTGACCCCCAGTTTTGGCCCTGCCTACCCCAAGAGTCATGATTGGAACAAAATTGAATCTACACTACCTGAGGATGCTTCTATAATAATATGACTAATCATGGCTTTGCTGTTCCAAGAAGCAGATTTTTAAAAGAAATTTTTCCTATATATATATATATATATATATATATATATATATATATATATATATATATATATATTCCAATGATAAACATTTGATCCCATTTTGTGCCCCCCCCCCCCCCCCCCCCCCCCCCCGGAGTCATGACATGAACGAACTTGAATCTAGAGTAAGTAATGAAGCTTTCATGTAAGTTTCATCTTTTCCTGCCCAGTAGTTCCTGAGAAGAATATTCTTAAAAGATGCCACCAAATTTTCACGAATTCTTAATTATCTCCCCCTTGAAAGAGGGTGTGGCACTTCCTGTGAACAAACTTAAATTCCCTTCATCCAAGGATGCTTTGTGGCAAGTTTGGTTGAAAGGATGATGTGCCATACAGCCCCCGGTAAATTGACAAAAAATAAAATATCTAAATTTTACTCTGATTTGTGCATCCACTTAATCACTGACATGTGTACTGTCATGGAATACTACTTTTACCGAATATAGAAACATAATTTGGAAGATATTTATCTTTATTTTGAGTAGGGGTACCATGTTTACATCCAATTCCCATTGAATTTTGGCCCCACCCCACTCTTTCAAGCCCTTAAAATATACGAGCGCAAGTAGGTACATTTTTCTCCTTCGGATGGTTGCTGTATTTTATTGAAATCTACCTATATGTGAAAGGAGAAAATTGTACCTTACTGCGCTCAAATGTTGTGTTTAAAATATTGTAAAATCTGGCTGGTTCTCTCCATTACAAACAGATCGACTAAACAATTTTTCTGACATAAGAATAAATTCATATGCTAATCGAGGCACCGGCGTGACTCTCTAACTGACCAATCAGCTAAAGGAGTTGTATTACGAGTGAGTACTACAAAATTTCTAACTAAAGGACATTTAATTAATGCTTGGAAAAAAGGCATAATTTTTTTCTTCTTTTCCGATAATTTTTTTTTTATTCGTTTGAGTCACAGATTAGACACGAATCTACAATTTCCGTGCTCATAATTACAGACAATTTTTTTTTGTAAATATACATTGTATCATTTCATAGTTTTGTAAAGCGTCCTTGGGCAATTGGCTACACGTATTCCCGAGAATCAGTGAATACACGTTTCATTGTGAATTTCTTGACCCAAAACGGTAAACACTGAAGTTCCATACGTATTATCACGCATAAAAAGCCTTTGCTGACCATTAAAAGTTTGAAATGTAGTAGAGATAATATGTAAATTGACCTAAGCCACGTGTCCGTGATAAAATGTAAACATGTGGTAAACCAGCATGTTTTGTCGTTCAGTCATCGGATTGGACAATTGTTCTCGGTAAGCGACAATGACCGAAATAATAACAATAGCCATATAAGGTAGATTTCTCGGACATGCATACCTCTCTATTGTACTAAGACCCGCCTATTCTTTTTTCATAAAAGATCCTATTGTCAAACCAAGTCGAATTTTGCTCTCTTGGGGTCTAAAAAAATCACAGATAATGCAGAAATCATCATAATTAAAATGTGGTGGAACTATTAAAACTATTCAAAAGGTGTCGTATTTGTTCACTTTTGTTTGAAAACTATCAAAATCATTGTAGAATAAATATAATTCGCCGCAGAAAAAGGGGCCGCAGAAAGTAGTTTTGGCACATCATCCTTTGCTCAGTGGTTCTGGAGAAGCAGATGAAAATGTGAAAAGTTTAAGACGACAGGCGTTGGACAAATTTTGATCAGAAAAGCTCACTTTAGCCTTCAGCTCAGGTGAGCTAAAAGGTCCATATATTAAATGTCTGTAAGTATATTACCCTAATTCATGTTACCAAGGCATTTCTACTGATATTTATAAAAAAAATCAATACCTGCATATACTGTCAAGTCACTTATTTATAACAGTCAGGGTTGGTACTTCAACGTATCATTTTCTGGCTTCGAAGCCAGTATATGAATTTCAAAGCACTAGGATAGATAAATTGATAATTTTCCAAACACTTTTTTGCATTTTGTGAAATAATGAACAAAATCCAAGTGCATACATCTATGTTATATTTCAGATCTTGCACATTCCAGATATATAAATACCTGTACATGTATTCCTATGTAAAACTTTGATCCCCCAATGCGGCCCCACCCTACCCCCGGGAGTTACAATTTGAACAATCTTGAATCTACAATACCTGAGGATGCTTCCATATTAAAATGACATAACACAACTCTGTTATTCTTGAGAAGAAAAATTTTCAAAATTTTTTCCTATATACTCCTATGTAAAACTTTGATCCCCATTGTGGCCCCAACCTAACCCTGGGGGTAATGATTTGAATAAACTTGAATCTACTCTACCTGAGGATGAAAAGATACCACCAAATTTTCACAAATTTTTAATTATCTCCCCTTGGAAGAGGAAGTGGCCCTCATTTAAACAAGCTTAAATCCCCTTTACCCAAGGATACTCTGTGCTAAGTTTGGTTGAAATTGGCCCAATGGTTCTGGAGGAGAAGATGAAAATGTTAAAAGTTTATGATGACAATGGACAAATTTCAATCAGAAAAGCTCATTTGAGCCTTTTATGCCAATGATAAACCAAAGTCCTAAATATGCTTCTTTGGCATTGTTTTTGTTTTAACAGGTCTTTGGTCTTGACAGTTCTCCTCAGTGCTACATAAAATTTATGTCTGACCATTGCACTGCCTTGACATCAAAATCCATTTTGTCTTCAAAATTAAATTTCTATACTGTGGTTACATTTTTTATGATCTCCATATTTCTGAATGAAAGTCTATCAAACTTGCAAAAAATGAAGTCAAAATAAAAATGAAAAAAAAAAAATTGAAGTACAACTGTCCAAAATAAAAATGAAACTAGAACTGTCCAATAGGGACAAATACCCCCCGCTGGGTTTTTCAGAGAAAGTACCAAATCACTAATGTTTTCTAGATGTGAGAGGTGTTCACAATTTCCTTAAACATTTCCAGTGAAAATTTAATTACTCATTATATTTTTTATATGTCCGTCTTAAGATGGGACGTATTATGTTATAGCGTTCATGTCCCTCCGTCCGTCTGTTAGCTTTTTCATGTCCGGCTCATAACTGTAATACTATTAGGCATAGAATTATCAAACTTTGTCAGCTGATACATCTAGGGTAGAAGGTGTGTCGCACATTAAAACCAGGTCGCTCTGACCTTTAATAAAGACGCTATGGCTAAATATGGAAAAATCATAACTAGAAAACCATTAGACTTAGAATCAAAAAAACTATGTCTTTTAACTTTTAAATTACACAATCCCAAAAGATGTCAGAGTATTGCAGTATCTTTATTAAAAAAGTGTTAAATCAAGAAAATACTAGTCTTATTTTTTTCATTATGTTCTTTACAGCAATCTGTAACAAGAAAAATTCCACCTCTCCCATGGGTGTAATGATCAGGCACTGGTCAAGGAAAATTTTGATAGCAGAAAATTGCATGTCAAATTAGAGATAAATTAATGAGTTTAGTGTGAGGTGATAACTGGTAGAGCATCTCTGATCAAGCAGGTGTTATCTACATCTCTTGGGAAATGGGCAAAAGGAATCAGTCTCTTAATTAATTGCTTGTGTTGTATTGAATTGTTCTTGTTGGCTAGTCTTACTTTCAAGATAAATTTGATGTAATCAAAACTAATTTGATATTGTTTATAATAATTAAAACTTATATGATATTGTATAATATAATTTAAACTAATTATTTATTGTACATTTTTTATTTGAATTTTTATATCTTTACAACAAATTGCAGACTGCCTTGTCTCACTAAGATGTCATTCGACCAATTGAATCTAAACTGTTTATGATAATTTAACAATATTCGATGGGCGTATAATGCTGTGGTGGGGCACTTTATTTTAATGAATGAAACTAAGGTGCAGCCTAATAAAACATCAACACTAATAATTACAGTGTTTTTTATTACATCGAAAAAATAGTTTGCAACTATCTGTCATCTTTGTGAGACATGACACTCTGCAAATTGATTGTTGAAAAAAAAAATATCATAATTAATTGTACAAAATCAAATTGATTTTAATACCTTTATATCAAACTCATTTTAAAAATAAAAGGCTGGTTTTAGTAACTATGTATTTTGACAGACATAAATAACAATTAAGAGACTTAGACAACAGAGATCTTTATTTCTTTCTGCCCAATTCCCCGGAGATATAGATAAGACCTGCCTGATCAGAGATGCCCTAACAGCTTCCCACACTGAACTCATTAATTAATCTTTAACTGGATGCATGTCCACTCATTACTCCCAAGGGACAAATGGATTTACACTATCTGCTGTGTAATGTAAAAACTGTTTTTAATACTTTGTGGGTTTTTTTTTAGTTCTAATGAGTAGTTTTAAGCTGTAGTTCACATTTTTGTACAGATGTTCTAGATTCTATGTCTCAAACCTTAGACATGAACCCGAAATGACTAAGTCAATAAAAATTTTAAAAAAAACACCTGTAAAATGCAGAAAAATTATCAAATAATGTTGAAAATACCAGGTGCACATCTTCATATGGTAAATAATAAGTGTACAAATTTTCATACAAATCTATGCAATAGTTTCTGGGAACAGATCCAGACAAAACCACATAATAAAAATGAAAAAACACCTGTAAAATGCAGAAAAATTATCCAATCATAATGAAAACACCAGGTGCACACCTTCATATGGCGAATAATAAGTGTACAAATTTTCAGACAAATCCTTCCAACAGTTTCCAAGAAATGGTCAGGACAAAATCTCGTCTACAGACAGACGGACATGCTGATTCCAATATACCCCCCCTAAACTTCGTTTGCGGGGGGTATAAAAAAATTGAACTAGAACTTCCAAAATGGACAAATACCCCCTGCTGGGTTTTTCAGAAAAGGTGCAAAGTCACTTAACATATATTGATATTTGATTCTATCAAAGATAGATCAATAAAAGAAAATGATTAATAGAATTTATTTTCATTTAAGTAAAAGGAAATGGTTAATAAAGTTTATTTTCATAAGTACACTCTTTGCATCTCATAGACATTCAAGAAGGGTTTCATTTTGTTGTCCCATCTAGATCCCATCATATTAAACTATTGAAAATACTTTTTGTATTATATATTAATAAGTCTTGTTTATTTCTTTTACACTTTACTCAAAATGAAATAATTTAGAAGATCTATAGGGTAAGAAAGTAGCAAAAGAAATCAGGGGATATCTAGTTTAATAAAACGGGGATAATTCCAGCACTGTTCTAATTAAAATTTATTTCCTTTTTTAGTGAAATCTAAAAAACACTGAATATTTGAATCTTAAATTCATATATGAATATTAACTCATTGAATGAATATTCAAATGTGAATATTTGAATGTTTGAATATTCATTGACATCCCTAGTTATGGCCCATATTCTAAAAAGTTTATACACAGTGCACAAAATGGCCATAGCATTAGCTCTTTGAGCCTTTGTCTCAGAATTAAGAGCTAAAAAGAACTGTATAATCTTGATGCAATATTTTTTAATAAAGTTACTGCATGACTCTTAGATTTGAATGGCCTATCTATCAAAAAACTTTTTTAAAAAACACTTAGTGACGCTTTTTTTTAGTTTAAATGAGTTGTTTTAAGCTGCAATTCACATATTTGTACAGATGTACCTAACAACAGTTCTAGATTCTCTGTCGCGAACCTACATGTACTCAAATGACTAAGTCAATACAAAATGAAAAAAAAAAACTGTAAAATTTGCAGAATAATTATGCAATCATGATGAAAATACCAGGTGCACATCTTCATATGGTGAATAATGAGTGTACAAATTTTTTGACAAATCCAGGCAATAGTCTCTGAGAACAGGTCTGGACAAAATCACATCTACACATAGACAGACAGATAGATGGACAGATGGACATGCTGATTCCAATATACCCCCCCCCCCCTAATCTTTGTTGATGGGGCTACAGACAGACAGACAGATAGAGGGACAGACGGACATGCTGATTCCAATTTAAACCCCCCCCCCCACCTTAATCTTTGTTGATGGGACTTATTATTTTCGCTTATACTATGCTTTGCAAGTAATTAGAATGTAGGTGCTACATATTTTCAATATCTGACAGGATGCATGCACCAGGTACCCATCCCACTGAAACATTAAATACCACTGAAAAGAAGAAATAAAACATTTGTAAAATATTTCTTGCTTTCATAAATTCTTAAAGTTTGTCAAACATATATGTCAATTTTCATCAAAACATGCTCATTAGCAAGGAGAATAAACACAATGTCTCAATAATTTCTGAACAGCCCTCATACCATACTTTTATGCATCTAGTGTTAGTTACAAGCAAGACACAACATCACAGAGAGACATTTATATGTATATATTTTTCATACATAGTCAACAAAATCTTCACATACCTCAGCAATCTTCAAAACAAGTAAATCCTTTGGATCTGATACTGAGGTTGGTGCTTCCAGGAAGTATCTAATATCCGGCAGACATACAACTGCCTCATCTTTCAAGGTGATTAATCTTCTAAATGTGTCCCCTGGGCTTTAAAAATGAAACAGGAGGCCCAAAGGCCACAGTGCCTTCATAAATAATATTTTTAGGTACAAACATATGTGATATAAACTCTTAATCAAAAACCAAACCTACTAACTGAGTCATATTTATTTTAGTAACTAGATTCTAAAAAGAAGTGCAGTGTACATTTAATATTCTTATTTCATGGCCCCTCCACACAAAAATCTCCTCCCATATTCACTAAAACAATCCCTTAAATGTTCTACATTCCCCTTTTTCCATTCACTCACTGTTCGTTCAGTGAGCATTCACCATTTTTTCAGCATGCATTCACTGTTTGTTCAGCGTTCCCTCACCCTCTACTCAGCATTCACAGTTTTGCATTCACCGTTCACAAAGCATTTAGCATTTGCTAACGGTTTGCTCTCTTTTCATTCACCTTGCGTTCAGTGCTTACTCATCACTTAGTCTTCATTGTCAATTGGAACTTCGAAGTGAAAGACTTATCTTTTTAAAGGGAAAAAAAGAAGGTGAACATAAGGGTTTACACATTCTGAAATATATCATGTTTAAAGAATCATTATTTAAATTTTATGGAAAAAATACATTTCCAATATTTATTTTTTTTTTTTAACTATTAGAGTATTTATTAAATTATTCTTTAAAATAAATGTTGTTGTAAGTATATTTATTTAGTACATGCTGAATGATTAAATGTAGCTCAGTCAGTAGAGCGCTCGCTCCGTGATCGGAAGGTCATGTGTTCAAAGCACGGCTGTGACTGACATAAGTCAATCAAAAATAGGTAGCAACTGTTCCTTTGCCAAGCCCTCGGCACTTCGAAGTGAAAGTTGTGGGTCCTTCGGATGAGACCTTAACAAGAGGCCCATGGGCCACAACGCTCACCTGAGTAACTATGGCCTTGCTGTTTTTCACCTGATTTCTCCCCTTGTAGTACTTATTGTGGCCTCGCGATAAAGCCTTGAAATTCCAAAGGTAGGTCATCATGACCTACATTTTAGATGAAACACTCTGAGCACCAAAGATGATTCTAGTCCAATTAGTACCTGAGAGTAGATCATGGTGACCTCTTTTCACTTGTCATTCTCTGAGGACCCATTTAGATGCATCAACTAAGTTTGATGATTTTAAGCCAATTAATACTTAAAATATTTTTAAAATTATAACCATAAAATTTCAAAAGTAGGTCACAGTGACTTACTTTTCAGATGACAAACTTTGAGGACCCAAGATGCATCAACTTACAAAATATAAAGTTTTATGATCATAGGCCTTAAAATGTCCAAAATATGCCTCTAAAATGCTTTGAAATTGAATGCCTGCAAAGTTCAAAAAGTAGGTCACTGTGACCTACTTTTTAGTAAGTATGTTTTATGGCCCCAAGATGCATAATCTTACAAGATTTAATGATTCTAAACCTCTCAGTATTCGAATTAATGACCTTAAAGATATACAAGCCATAACTTGCGTCAGTTAAAAATGAAGTTGGAAATTTATTAACAGGTAAATCTTGATACCTCGAAGTCCACGGGACCAAGGAAAAACTTCGAGAGATCAAGAGTTCGAATTTTCAAGAGTCCGGAATTTTCCGGGATTGTTGACAGGTTTTAAAATTAGTCTTACCGGATGTAATGATTTTCATGCAGTGCTAACCTTTTACACGTGGTTTTTGTAAAACAACGATATTTTTTCATAATTCAGATGAATATTTCATTAAACTGAGTAAAGCAAAAAATGTATATCGTCATTTCATGTATATTTATTTATTCTTCGTAATGCGGACATACTATGCATTCGTTACATGAAAACGACATTTTACAGCGTCGTACATAGCTTTGACTATTCCAAAAATGATCATTGAACGCAGTTCTGTAAGTATTTGTCCAATAATAGTCGTCATATCGACATTGAGGTTGTTTCTGCTTTTTCATATTTTGTTTAACTTTGACACTGACTCGAAATAAAAATTAAATTAGTGTTTTGTCTTTTAATCAATTACTACTTTTCAATGACACTGCGTCTCTAAATTATCGTAAGACAGTCGATGATAATTATTTTAATAGCATATACGCAAAATAGGATTAATTATAAATCATTTATCACCTTGCAGCATAAGTGTCACCTGAATAAACATCCCGTTCCTCGAGACCAGCGTCTTCTGCCTGGGGCCATTTAAATGTCCATGTAGAGGTGCTAATTATATAATCTTGTATACACATAGCCACTTCGAGGTATCGAGGGTAAATTCTAATAGAATATGCATAGCGGGACTGCATTTTGACTTCGAGGGATCAAGGGTTTTGAGAGATCAAGAGTTCGAGAAATCAAGAGTAAAATTGCTTAGTTATATAGTGGAAGAATTTGGGACCAGAGACCTACTTTGAGCGATCAAGAACTTCGAGAGATCGAAGTTCGAGCCATCAAGAGTTACCTGTATTTTGTTTTCCAAATAAAGTTACGAAAATATCGTAAATTACACAAATGGAAATGAACGCATTATAAAGATCTAAAATTGTAATTATTTATTATCCTAATAGGAAAGTAATGCCTCTATTTAAATTCCTGCATCATGTGACACTTTTAGATTGATAAACAAAAATGGCGTCAAGAAAATGAAGTAGGCCATTTGGTATACAAAATAACTTTTGACATGGATGGCATACGTTTTATGCTTAAAAATACTTATCTCTGAAAACAATCAGTATTAACCATCTACTCTGTAATGACAGATATTAACTTTTATTCAAAATCATAGTCCAAATGCAATGTACCTCATTGTCTATAATTTCCCGCGGACATGCATGACTATATACTGTTTATGCACTTCCTTCATCAATATTCATGAATAGGCTGAATTCTTAATTGCAGATCTTGCTCAATTGTTTTGTAATTACAAGGACTTATTTAGTAAAACTTTGTGGAAAGTAATTATTTTTTATTACACATCATGTTTCTCAAATCATTTAATCATTTTGTTTCACATAAAAAATTGCGGTTATATAGCATGTTATATAGCATGTACATCTTTAAATGTTTTGAAAAAGATTAGCCATAAAATTCAAAAAGTAGGTCAAGGTGACCTACTTTTTTGTTGACTTACTCCGAAAACCCAAGATGCATCAACTGACTAAGTTTGATGATTATAGGCCTTAAATTGTTCAAAATATGCCTCAAAATCATTTAGAAAAAGAATGGCCGCAAAATTTAAGTAGGTCACTGTGACCTACTTTTGAGTCAACATGATAAGAGATCCTTAGATGCATCAACTGACAAGATTTGATGATCCTAGTCCTTATAGTAAGCAAAATATCAACATTTTAAAACAAGAGGCCCATGGGCCTTATCGCTCACCTGAGCACATTGGCTAAACAAAAGCACAAATCAGTTCAGTATTGAAAAGATTAAGAAGGGGGGCTTGAATTTTAAACTACCTGATGATACTTTCATGTCAATTTGTACTTGAGAAGATTTTTTCAAAAATTTTCCCATATATTCCCTTGTAAAAATTTGATCCCCCATTGTGGCTCCTCCCTATCCCAAGAGTCATCATTAGAACAAACTTGAATCTACACTACCTGAGGATGCTTCTATATCAATATGACTAAACATAGCTTTTCTGTTCTTGAGAAGAATTTTTTTTTCTATATGCTCTTATGTAAAACTTTCAATCCCCCATTGTGGCCCACCCTAAACCTGGGGTCATCATTTTAACAAACTTGAATCTACACTACCTGAGGATGCTTCCATATAAATATGACTCATCATGGCTTTGCTGTTCTTGAGAAGAAGATTTTTAAAGATTTTTCCTATATATATCTATGTAAAACTTTGATCCTCCATTGTGGCCCCGCCCTACCCCCTGGGGTCATGATTTGAACAAACTTGAATCTACACTGCCTGAGGATGTTTCCACATGAGTTTCATCTTTCCTATCCCTGTGGTTTTTGAGAAGAAGATTTTTAAAAGATGCTATGAATTTTTCACTAATTCTTAATTATCTCCCCTTGAAAGAGGGCGTGGCCCTTCATTTGAAGAAAGTTTACAGATAGATGGACGGACGGACAGACGGACTACAGACAAAATCAGAGCTCCAGATAAGGTGCGTATTTGCAGAAATATGCATTGAATTTTTCAAAATACGCATTAACAAGAGGCCCATGGGCCACATCGCTCACCTGAGCACATTGGCTAGGAAAAAAAGCAAAAATCAGTACAGTATTGAAAAGTTTACAGGGAGGGGGTGTTGAATTTTAAACTCCTGATGATGCTTTCATATCAATATAACAAATGGCTTTGTTGTTCTTGAGCAGCAGATTTTTTTCCCATATATTCATTTGTAAAAATTTGATCCCCCATTGTAGTCCCACCCTACCCCCGGGGGCCCTCATTTGAACAAATTTCATTCTACACTACCCAAAGATGCCTCCATATCAATTTGACTAATCATGGCTTTTCTGTTCTTGAGAAAAAGACTTTTTCCTATATATTCCTCTGTAAACTTTGATCACCCATTGTGGCCCCAACCTATCCCTGGGGTAATGATTTGAACAAACTTGAATCTTCACTATCTGAGGATGCTTCCATATAAATATGAACAATCATGCCTTTGCTGTTCTTAAGAAGAATCATTTTAAAGATATTTTCCTATATATATCTATGTAAAACTTTGATCCCCCATTGTGGCCCCACCCTATCCTCGGGGGTCATGATTTGAACAAACTTGAATCTACACTACCTGAGGATGCTTCCATAAAAATATGACCAATCATGGCTTTGCTGTTCTTAAGAAGATGATTTTAAAGATATTTTCCTATATATTTCTATGTAAAACTTGGATCCCCCTTTGTGGCCCCACCCTACCCCCGGGGGTCATGATTTGAACAAACTTGAATCTACACTACCTGAGGATGCTTCCATATAAATATGACCAATCTTGGCTTTACTGTTCTTAAGCAGAAGATTTTTAAAGATATTTTCCTATATATTTCTATGTAAAACTTGGATCCCCCATTGTGGCCCCACCCTACCTCCGGGGGTCATGATTTGAACAAACTTGAATCTTCACTACCTGAGGATGCTTCCATATAAATATGACCAATCATGTCTTTGCTGTTCTTAAGAAGAAGATTTTTAAAGATATTTTCCTATATATTTCTATGTAAAACTTGGATCCCCCTTTGTGGCCCCACCCTACCCCCGGGGGTCATGATTTGAACAAACTTAATCTACACTACCTGAGGATGCTTCCATATAAATATGAACAATCATGCCTTTGCTGTTCTTAAGAAGAATTATTTTAAAGATATTTTCCTCTATATCTATGTAAAACTTTGATCCCCCATTATGGCCCCACCCTACCCCCGGGGGTCATGATTTGAACAAACTTGAATCTACACTACCTGAGGATGCTTCCATAAAAATATGACCAATCATGGCTTTGCTGTTCTTAAGAAGAAGATTTTTAAAGATATTTTCCTATATATTTCTATGTAAAACTTGGATCCCCCATTGTGGCCCCACCCTACCCCCGGGGGTCATGATTTGAACAAACTTGAATCTACACTACCTGAGGATGTTTCCACATAAGTTTCATCTTTCCTGGCCCCGTGGTTCTTGAGAAGAAGATTTTTAAATGATGCCATTATTTTTTCACTAATTCCTAATTATCTCCCCTTGAAAGAGGGCATGGCCCTTCATTTTAACAAACTTGAATCCCCTTTACCCAAGGATGCTTTGTGGCAAGTTTGGTTGAATTTGGCCCAGTGGTTCTTGAGAACAAGATGAAAATGTGAAAAGTTTACAACAACAACGACAACGACTACAATGATGACAGACAACGGACAAATTTTGATAAGAAAAGCTCACTTGAGCCTTTGGCTCAGGTGAGCTAAAAATGAAAACAGGGCGTACAATTATGCATTAGCAATCATAAATAAGCATTACACTACGAAAGTACTGTGTAGGATGGATTAAATGTCAATTAATTATGTGAATTGAAGTCAGTTCAGTGTTTGAATTTTTATCAAAAGGAAATTTGATTAAGAGTATTCGAAATAACATAGGCCAATTTCCAGTTCGGGAGAAAGATTTGAATATTAAATACTCGTACTTTATCTGAAAATATCAAAGATTTCCACTATTCATATAACATCCAAATTTCCGTTCTTGACACGTACAGGTCGATGTTGTCAATATTGCGCAAAAACACGCATGGTGTCTAATTTATTCTGTATCACTATTTATTAAACAGTTCTTGTATATTTACCATTTTCTATAAAATATCATCTAAAGTCTGCCGACAACTTTTATTAATTGTATGAAAATAATATTGCTTTTTTGCTTTTCACATGCTCCTGTGCTATAAATAGCACAACACGCTTTTAAGGGAGCCGACTGGGGTTTTATTGTATGAAAACTACTATAGAGAAACTCTTTAATTTTATACCATATGTACCTTACATTGACTTCAGTATATATGCCAAGTTTAGGGAACATCTACCGTCTGGTTATTTTTAAGGGACCATCTCAAAATACAGGTACATTTACTATAGGATTATATAGGAAAATACCATTTTTTCGCACTTCGGAGCAAATTATACAAATCCTACTATAGACTTTTTGCTCAAATTATATTATTTGATGGGTAATACTATATTGTACATTTTATGCAAGAAACACAAAATTCTACCGTCTGGTTTCCAGAGGGGGCATCTCAAAATGTCAAAAATCATGATATTTTCCTGTTTTTATGGAGTACAACAAAATATGACAGATACCACAGATTAACATAAAAAATACTAAAAATGATTGTGAGATTCTCCATTTCCTATGTTTAAAATTTCAAGAGCATCTATTTTATACTTTTTATTCCATGACATAATTAATGACCCCGCTTTAAGAACTTCGGTTATTCATAAAGTCAAAAACACGCTATTACGACGTCTATTTTCCTATCATTTGAAAAATCGTTTAAAAAATCAGTTATTTAAAAACGTAATTAGATTTTTTAACCTTAGATTTCCTAAATTTGTTAATTTTTATAAATTAAGTAAAAATAGTTGCTTTAAAAGAGTAAATATGCTTTATTTTACCATGCTGCGCGAAGTATTGCGCAATGAAAACCCCAGTCGGCCCCCTTAAAGCAAACGGGGAGTAACTCTAAAACTTTTACCTTGATCGATGCCAACAATTTATATAGCAAAACCTAATATATATTTTTGATAAAAAAACAAACAAACAAAAAAAACAAACAAACCAAATGGAAAACAGCGGAGATAGATATTTTGAGAGGGGCACATGGGGATTAGAATCTGAAGATTAATTTTATCTGACCAAAGGAAGGATATTTTTCTCGGTAACTCTTGCTACGATCAATATAGGCCTAATCTTAAATGGAGTTCTGTGTGCCTGTGGTAACTTTGCCTACTGTATGGTCTTTCTGGTGAAAAAAAAATGAAATGTTTCTCAGTTATAGCTAAAAGCTGACAAAATTTTTAAAATTTCATTAACCTAATTGATAAATGCAAAATCTGTCCCTTTTTTACATTTCTCTTTCAAAAACACTTATTTCGATAACAAGCTAAAAATCACATTAGATGTCAAAAGAGCAACAGATTAACAAAATACTCTTTGATTATTTTGCTGAAAAGCAAAATCTGCATTGATTTGAAAATCAGTAAGTAAATACACTTTGAGGTAAAAAATTATCTGGAGCTCTGCAAAATGTGATCAGAAAAGCTCACTTGAGCTTTCATCTCAGGTGAGCTAAAAACGTAATTTTTGGTCAACTTTGAAGTGACCTTGAGACCACACCCTTTGTCCCAGGGTGATTCCCCAAGCAAATTTTAATCTACTACATATCCTCATCCTTTTGTGCAAGTTTGGTGATTATCTGACCAGTTATTCCTGAGAAGATTTTTTAGCAACCAGTACTTATGGTTTTATTTACCTAATTATCTCCCCTTGTTTAAAAGTCACAATCCTAGTTTTAGTCTGAACGGGAGCCCTTGGGCAAAGGATACCCTGTGACAAATTTGACAATAATTGGCCAAGGGGTTCTTGAGTTATGGCCCATATTCTAAAAAAAGTTTACGCACACCTCACAAATGGCCATAGCATTAGCTCTTTGAGCCTTTGTCTCAGAAGAGCTAAAAAGGGGGTTTTATATAGCGAGGAAATCGGAAACCTTTTTGGGTGGGGGTGCCATTATAATGGGGGGAATTATAACAGGGGAGCACTGTATTTCTTTATTATTTATTCATTTGGTCTAGAAGTGTTCAAAACAAAAAATTCTTACATGGTACATGTGTGGTACGGTCATGTCGCAACTCCAAAATTAATTTATTTAGGAGAATGATGTAATTATGGGTTGGTTTTTTTTTTTGCACCTGACAATAGAATAAAATAGAAAACATACAATGCAAGGTAAAGATCAGAGATATTCACACAAAAGTTTCATCTTATCTCATCAAGTGGTTCTTGAGAAAAAGTTTTTTTTTTATATACAGTAAAACTCGTTTAGTACGAACACGGATAGAGCGAATTCACGGATATATCGAAATTTTTTAGGGGTTCCCAGAAAAAATCTTAACACTTCTTTGTTATATCTTATAGTTATAACGAGCTCTGATATAACGAATTATGAACTGATTTTGAGTCCCGTAGAGGTTGAAAATAATAAAATTTACATCTTCTATAACAAATTTTTAAAGATCTCAAAATTTTATTAATATTGAACTGACTGTATTTTTGTTAAGTATTTGTATATAAAATTCAATTCATAATAAAATCTTATCCAAGGTATGTTTTGTAATAATTGATTCCTTAACATATCTTTAGTAATACTTGAAGGAAAAAGTGTATATTGCAAATTTGCTATATAAAGGTATGTGAATTCGTTATACAGATATAAAGAATTACAGATAAACCAAATTAAATTCCAGGGACCCCAGGACTTTGCTATAACCAAGATAACTTTTCACTAATTATTATTGTAAAAGACGACTTGGCCCTTAATTTAAACAACCTTTAATCTCCTTAACCCAGATTTTAGTAAGTTGAAAATGGCCAAGTGGTTCTAAAGAATATTAAATTGTGAAAAGGTTATGAACATCAGACAAAAGGCAAATTCTGATCTGAAAAGCTCACTTGAGCCAAGGAAAGTTGTTAGATATAGCACCTAAATATGTGTGGTAATTGCATCCTTAAATGGATTATCTTTCAATTTTGGGCATAGTAGGGATTAATTATCATTAATATGTCTAAGTGTCTTAAATTCAATCCCTTTTTAGATTAAATTTTACTGATGTCAGACTGCTCATTACAAAACAAGAAGTCTGTGAGCCAATGCTCACTAGTAATACCCCCGCTCTGATGTGAATATATATATGCTCTCATGTGAATATACACAAGTTCAGTTTGAGGCATCGAATTTGAACAAAAATGAATCCAACCATATGGTTTGCCAAAACAAAGAGTGTACTAAAATTTCAAGTATCTGCCATGAGTAGTTGCGGATAAAACTGTGATGGGAATTTGGTACACACAGACGCATGGATAAACAGGAAGTTGACAATGGATACATACAAAAATGAATTCCACCACATGGCATGCCTAAAAAAAGATTGTGCTAAAATTTCAAGCATCTGCGATGAGTAGTTGCAAAGAAAACTGTGACGAAAAATTTATTAACAACAGACAGACACACAAGTGTATAACAGTATACCCCCCATCATTTGGAGCGAAGGTATAAATATCTATTATACAAGGTTATAAAACTATTTTACACATTAAAAATTATTAAAATTTGCCTAATGGTTCTGGAAAACTTGACAGCATAATTAATTTATAGACGTACTTCAATCAGAGTAGCTCAAATGGTTCAGGTAAGCTTTACAAGCTTTATATATATACTTACACTGAAGTCAAATCACACATATTTGAAAAGACTCTGATTAATTCTGTGTATGCACTTTTAAATGGCCTAGTAGGTAAGAGCATCATTTTCATGAACTTGATCACCATCTCCAAAAAATCATGAGATTTTGCATAAACTTTTGTGAGGAGTCTGAAATAAAAAAAAAAACAATCAAGAATCAAATAATAATAATAATTAGATGCATTTCTTGTTCACAGCTGCTAGGGCAACAAGTAATTCTCCAGAATGATATGCTGCATCACATCGTTTAATTTTTAAAGCAAGGCAGGCTACTCACTGATAAGTTGATGATACAGGGATTTCAACAGCCTCGTTTAAAGTGAGCATTTCGTAAATTTTATGGTTGTTATAATGACCTTGTTAGCAAATATAACCTATCACAGGGTCGTGTTTTGGCTGACTTGTTTCATACCAAATGTTAGGCCTTTGTTTTTGTACTGAATTGACTAGGAATACTCCTCCTAGGCACCTGATCACCCTCTGGAATTTCCAAGGGTCCATATTTTATGCCCTCTTCACGTACATGTATTTGTATTGTTTACGGATTTTTTTTTCAATCGATCACTGTTAGTTATCTTTACCTTTTACATTAATACTTAACTAATTTTTTTTTTAATGTTTGCATTTATGAACTACAGACTTTCAACATAGACCATGATCATTAAAGGTTTTCTACTTTTTTATAGAATCTCTGATAACAAAACTTTAAAGAAAAAAAAATCAGCAAAAACCACCAAGACTGAATTGAAATTTATATCTGAAATTAAGAGAAAGAAAATTTTTTTTTACTGCCCCCAGCGTGATTCAAACCCCCAACAGTGCTAGGAAATTTAAATCAGTCATATCTATGCAATAAATGCATCAATCAATATATGCTGAAAACATATTTAATATTCTCAAAATAGACACTCTATATAAACCAGTCATAATTCCCGAGAAAAATATTGAAAACCAAAAAATATTGTAAATTTTAATTTTTTTTAAATTTTTGCGACCAGAAGTGAAGACGAAGAAAAATAATAAAGTTTGATCCCAACATCTAGTGAGTTTCACTTTCATATCTTTAGCTGTTCTTGAGAAAATGCGCAGGCAAGATTCTATTTAAAAAAACAAGTTTGCCCAAAAATTGCTGATGGAAATGAATTTTGAAAAAAATGAAAAACATGTCTAGAGATATTCTCATGATGCATTTTCCTTGAACAGATCATTCATATCAGTACACACATGGCTGACATATCGCCCTAACTATGAAAAAAGAATACTAATAATTAACTACATTATGTAGATGAGATCTCATTGCAAACAACGAGTAGGTCTTCCGTCCGATTTTTGATCAGATGAGCTGATACGATTTTGACATTGAGATGGAGATATGCAGTTTACTATAGACATAAAGGAGCAAAGATTAGCGCTTTGGCTCCTAAACATGCTAAGATCCCTAATTACGTAAAATGATATAAAAATATGACTAGCTACAGCAAGAGATATTTCCAATTAAACATTTTTACTTCACTGATGTATAAATAAATATTGAATCATTGAAGAGTTATACATTGAAATCTTTTGGCCCCTCCTGGCCCCAAATGTGGGAGATCAGCCCCTTTTCCTGATATCAACTGAAAGGTATTATGATTTTGAACATTTTCAATTCAACAACTTTTCAGAAGTTTTTTGTCATTTCCAAGATTTAAAGAAGAGAGATTTTAGGAGCCAGCCCTTCAAGTCCTTAATGGGGCCATTTTACAAAAATTGAAAAGGTGTTAGTGTTAAATCTAAAGCAAACTAGCATGGCGCGGCGCCATGCCCTTTTCTCTCGGCGCCATGCCCTTTTTTCCAGCGCCATGCCCTTTTTTCCTTGCAAAAATATATAAATGTGCCTAGCAGAGGCAAGATGGATTAGCGGCTTTGTTTATTCAGTGCATGCTGAGTAGCCCCTTTGTTTATTTAATGCACGCAAAGGTGTGAATTCAGGACAGGAAATCACTTCTCGCTTGAACGCACACAGCCACCTGGCCAGGTAACATGCCTCAGGCTGTTAGGGTATAAGAGATAACACGAGAAAATATCATTTGATTGCATTGATTATGCAAGAATTAGCCCAATGTCAAAGATAGATTAATTTGTAAATTAAAATGTTACACATTTTAAATCAGGATCGTTTCTTTTTAAATTGAAAGTAGAAAAAACAGAGTTGATGAAGAAATGTGAAAAATAAAACTGCTGATGAATTAAGTCAACTTACAATGTACAGTACCAAAAAAACCTGAATATTATGTGTGAAATGGGCTAGGAAACAACGGAGTGTGAAGTTAGTTTCTTTCAACATGTTCAATGATTCTGTGTTCTACTTTTTGAGTGACACCCAGAGGCTCAATGTTTCTAAGCCAGAAAAAAGTTTTAACCAATTTATATATTATTTCAAGTTTAATTTTTTGGTATAATCAGTTTTCACTTGATTTTATTGATAGATTATTTTCAAAATAAAGAGAATGCCCTCTACATTTATTATCCAAGTAGCCCCCCCCCCTTTTTGCAATTTTGTTCTGCTATTTACCTCAAACACAAATAACAATATTAAAGGAAGGGGAAAAAAATCATACCCCAGACTAAAATAATTCTTGAGCAAGTGACAAAAAGATTCACACCTATTACTTTTTAAGCATAACCTTGATAACCATACTAATTCCTTGATTAAAAAATTTGAATTTCAATTTTGGCAATAATTGCCCTCTCAGTGTGTATTAAATGAATTAAGCTGACAGATTTATAAATTTTTCTTTTAGATACTTGTATAACTAAAGAGTTCAGTATTAAATAATAATTTAAGTACATAAACATGATAAAGAAAATATTTATAATTTCAAAGACGTTAAAAAAGTGCCCTCATGAAAACTTGTTGCGGCGTAAAGTGCCCTTTTGATTATTGGATTACCATGCCCTTTTTAGGGTCTGGATTTAACACTAGGTGTGTATTGTTCAGAACATTATTCTGAACATCTCTTGTTCAATATTACTATCAAAATATTTCCCCTTATCGAGATAAAAAGTGTCAAAGATTAGAATTCTGGCCCCTTTTCGCCCCTTATTATGTAATATATGATAAAAATTTCAAAATATGTAGTTGCAAATCATTCAGATAAATATTTTTGCTTCAGTAACAAAATATTGATCGTTAAAGAGTTATAGATGAAAGATTTTTGGCCCTTCTGAGCCCCTAATTTGAGGGGTCAGCCCCTTCTTCTTGATATCAAATGAAATTTCTTGTGATTTTGAAGACTTTTTGTTCAACAACTTCTGTAAGGGAAGACTTAAAGAATGGTACCGTTTATCAGCAATTCCATATATTTCATTTTATGGCTGGTTTATAAGCACAGTTTATGTACGGTTTGGTTTTGCTATCAATGTAAGTCAAATCTTTTAAAATTCCGAATACATCCTTTGATGTCAGGTTAGATTTCATTGAAATCACAAGTACGTGTTATCTGCCCTACTGGGTTGTACGTCTTTAAGTCAAAATTTCAAATGAATATAACTTTTTAAAAAAATAATTTTGATAATCATACTACAGTACCTGGCCATATGCAAGTCATAATTTTATTTTTCTACTAAATATATCATTGAAAAATGCATTTTTCTATAATATTATTGCAGTGTTATTTATTGATCATTTTTTATGACTAAAACACCATAAAATGTAGAATTCTTTGCAGTTTCTTGATATAATCTCAAAATAATTTTATCTGTAGGCACTGCAGTAATATTACACGTCAAATGCAAATTCAACATTTTATGACTCTAATTTGTTAAGAAATCATAGTAATTTGAGGTTAGAAATTTTTGTTTTGACAATTTAATAAATTATTCTCAATGATTAGTGTATCATTTTGTTTAGCATTATAAGACAAGAAAATTTGAACAAATATGCATGATTTAATGAAAAAATCATGGATATTGGGCTAAAATTGACCTCACAATAACTTTTCATAACTAGAAATATGTCCATAGGACATGAATGCCCCGCCGAGGGTGTATTAGTAATGCAACATTTTAACACAAATTGAGAAAAGTGAGGTCAAGGTCAAAGGAAAGGTCAAGGTGAAAAAATATTGATGCAATTGAATAGCTTACATCAGTATGTATCAGCATATGAAGTTTGACACTAATTTAAGAAAAGTGAGGTCAAGGTCAAAGGAAAGGTCAAGGTCAAAAATTGTTGATGCAGTCGAAAAGGTTACATCAGTATGTATAAGCATATGAAGTTTGATAAAAATATTATGAATGGTTTCTTTAAAACTGAGTTAAACATTAATTTAAGAAAAGTGAGGTCAAGGTCAAAGGAGAGGTCAAGGTCAAAGGAAAGGTCAAGGTCAAAAAATATTGATGCAGTTGAATAGCTCTCATCAGTATGTATCAGCATATGAAGTTTTACACTAATTTAAGAAAAGTGAGGTCAAGGTCAAAGGAAATGTCAAGGTCAAAAAATGCTGATGCAGTTGAATAGCTCTCATCAGTATGTATCAGCATATGAAGTTTGATAACACTATCTTGAATGCTTTCTTCAATTTAAGAAAAGTGAGGTCAAGGTCAAAAGAAAGGTCAAGGTCAAAAAATGTTGATGCAGTTGCATAGCTCTCATCAATATCTATCAGCATATGAAGTTTGATAAAAATACCTTAGATAGTTTCTTTGAAACTGAGCTTTGAACAGAGCTAAACGCAAAGCGTGATGGAAGGACGGAAGACGGTATATGCCCCGGCCATATTCATGGCGGGGCATAAAAATTGGTTTTTCAATGAAGTATATAGTGTAAAAATGCAATTATGACTCACTTGAGGCCATATATACTGTACGTTCATCATGTGTTATGCAGGGGTCCCGGGCTTGAAATATTCCCTGTTCAATCATACATTTTCTCTTTTTAAAAAAAAATAAAACTATACTCATTTTCAATACAATTGCTTCATAAATCTACATCACTATCAAATGAGTAATATGACTAAAAAGTAATGGTGTTACTAGCCTTCTAAGTTCCAATTCATGCTCCTGGATGCCTTTTGTCCTCATGTATTCAAAGATGTCAAGAGATGATAATTTCTTCATGCATTCTTCAACCTCCACTATGTACTTTTTGGTAACCTCTGGATCTGTCCTCAAGCTGTTTTCATCATCAACAATGCTGAAATTTACATAATCAAGTATAAATTCCTTCACACACTGAACCCTTTTCGGTAGTGGAGAGATTTGCCTTTTGCTTGTCATGGTTTTATTTAACTTTTCGAATATATCGCTGGGATCTGCAAAGCCATTTGGGGCATAAAACACCCTCAACATGTCAAGATGTGTTGAATTAGTCCAGCTGGATACTCGAGATGGAAGCACAGACTCTTTTTCTTTTTCCGAGTATGCCATGTTAAGTGATGTTTTACACAACACGGTGCCCACGGACGTCAGGCCGTTTCGCGCCACGTATGTATGTGCTGATATGTTTCGCTCCCAACCTGTTTCGCACTCAGATGAATCGCGATACAATTTTCAAACCAGTCTTCGACACTAAAAGCTAAATATTAAATTGGATAGTTAGGATATATCTTTTAACATATGTTTTCATTAAAAGATCAATATAAGCTTTTGACTATTTTAAGCGACTGTGTGTGCGTGTTTTTTTTTCTTTATATTTTAAAAAAAATGCTCTCAACATGCTCAATGAATGCAGAATATTATAAAATCTAATTTAAAAAAATGTTGAGCATTGCCGTAGGAACCGGGGGCACGGGGGGGGGGGCGTGCCCCCCCAATAATTTTGCCGATATATAAATTACTATTATAGTAAACTTTAGATACTATATGCTTGTACCCCTTAATAAAAACGTCTGATGGCTTTTTTTTTTGTATTTTGCTTGTCAGAAAATTTTTGGTACATGTACTGCCCCCTCAACTGTCAACTGAAAATGTATGGCTGTGCCCCCCCCCCCCCCCATTGAATTTGCTTCCTACGGGCCTGTTGATAATGGTAGACAGGCAATTGCAAAATTTAAGAAAATGCATATAAAATTTCCAAACTCATTTAAAGAAAAACTTGTTAAAAATGCATAATTTAATAAAATCAATGAACTGTCTTTAAAAACTGCATGATGCTGTTACCACAGAGAAATCAATCTGCTTGATATAAGTTCAATTAATTTATATCCCTTAATTTAGCAAATGCAATTTAGTAATTATGAAAATTGGTATAAACATTTCAAATTAATATACATGTATTTCCAGTCAAGATCAGTTTGATTTAATATGGAATATGTTCAAAAAGTTTAAGTTTAAGTGTAAATTTTAAAATTAGCAATTTTCCTTGAATTTCATTTCATTTTTTTTAATATGATTCTCAGCAAATGAATTTTATAATTATATGATAATAAACTAGCCTTGCTAATTTGAAATATACGTCTGAGGACTTTTTTTTTTTTTTTTTGCTTGTCAAGGAATTTTGGTAGTTGATAGTGCCCCCCCCCCAACTGAAAATGTATAGCCGTCCCCCCCCCCCACTGAAATTGCTTCCTACGGGCCTGTATAATATCAAAAACAACCAGTAAACTCATAATCAAACTAGATCTTTTTTTAAAGAATTTAAAATCCAAAATAGAAAAAATTAACTTCAATATGGCATGGCTTCTGATTTTATCAAGTACAATTAAATTCAAATAATAACATTTTCTTCACTCCATGCATTATCTTTCCAAGAAATATACCCAATACATTTCTACTTTTTTTGGTTCTGATCATGCATACACTTAATTTACATTTTCATAATTTCAACTTTTTGTATCATAATGAGATATTTTACTGGGGTTTCTTCAATTTTCGTTCCATGCATCTATTACCACATACACGTAGTTTAGTTCTAAAATATGTTGTTGAATGGAGAAGAGGGAATGTTGGCAAGGAATTCCGAGTGGCACTTTGGGCTGAAAAAAAGTATTCAAAGGGCTTTTTCCAAAAACATGTAATTTTAGAGCTCAAGACAAAATAATGAGAAATGTAGTTTCTGAATTTATTAAATTTTTTAATGATGGACTATTTCAAAAATCAAGAAACAAGTAAAGGGACATGCACAGATGGAAGTGTCATGTTGTGTATCTGTACCTGCTCTGAAAAAAAGAGTTCTTTATAGACAACAATTAGCAAAATGAGTGAAGAAATGACATATGTTGAGTAAATTACAGAGTTTTGGAAAGCTTTGATAAAATGGACAAAAAGAAAGACAAATTAAGGATATCTGCTCCTCAGCCAGGAAGGATAACTCTTAAAATCATTATCTAATTTAAAAGGAAGGTTAAAATTGAATTCTTGTCGTGCAACTATTCTCATTTCATGCATCTTAATCTGATTCAAAGTTTTTTGAAGTCTTAGAAAGGGTCTTTTAAAAATTTGACATTTGTGTCCCATAAAAGTACTACAAAAATAAATACTATTTTAGAGAAATGGATTTTTCTTGAATCTATATATAGCCTAATAGAAGTGATATGTGATGTCTTACAATGAAAGCAAAAATTTCTTACACTATGTAGTATATATATAATCATTGAAGTAATTAAAAGAATGAAAATAAAAAATAAGTATAAGAACATGCTATTTTCTCTGAATTAATGCCTTGATACCTACATGTATATTTTTTTTTATCATAAAGTATATTTGTTGATCCTTAATTTTTCGATTTTCTGCAATTTGACACTGCTTTCCCCTGAAAAATCCTGCTTTTATGCACAAGTAATATTGCTATTCCGTGATTCTATTTTTTGCTTTTTCCACAACTTATTTTAACATGTATTAAGCCTAACAAAAACGGTACAGAGTCAACAAAGTTTCAATTTTACAAACATGGGCATATCATTTTGAAGAGAAGAAAATTCTGCCCATATTCTGGTCTACTGTGATTGGTAATGGACTTGGAACAGATAGCTAAGTCAGAAAATTCATCGGGATAGCAGAACCAATATCCATTGCATATAGCGGATCAATTCATGGCTACAAACGATAGCGCATGTGCATAGTCAAAATCCGCTTCTAAGACAATGTTGTAAAGTCACCTTGCCTGGTCGGTGAAAACCACGTACCAATCATGAATAAATTGAAATTTCCTGACATACGCCATATCATCCATGATGCAAAACACAGATACAGGAAAATAATAAAGTGTCCAATGGTGATGTGAAATAAACCCCCACAAAAATTTTGTTTTGACTGGCATGACCTGATGGTTCCAAGAATTCTTTGCAAGTGATGCTATCTAGAGATCAGCTTAGGTAATTAATACATATAATAGGAATATGATTGGTCAATTAATTTGGTATTTTTTGAAATAAGGCATTGATCAATACTGATTGAATGATATTAATTATGTATATAGGCTCTCGATGGCCCCTTAGAAGGTTCCCAAATTGGGGCTCAGAAGGTCTTGATTTAAGTGGACAATTATCTGGCTCAGATCTGATTGGTTAAAACTAACAATAAACAACAGGGATAATGGCCCCCAAGCGAATACAAGATGGTAATGATCGTAAATTAATAACAATTAAATTACATTTAATATTACAAATTGTGTATAAAATTCAGTTTTAAGGAAACATTTCAAGATACAGTAAAACACGCGTATAGCGAACACGCTTATAATGAATCGACGCTTTACGGAACTTTTGAACTTTTGAATGAATTACGTTTATAACGATGCAAAATCGTACGTCCCTGGCACTTTGTTATAAGCGTGTTTTACTGTATTCTCTTGATCAAGCTTAATTCATACAATAATTTTTCAGGTTGCATTTACTTATGAACTCTAGGTGGGCACTCATATCCTATGAACATCCTATGAACATATTTCTAGTTTCCTTAATATTCCCATGTAAAACTTTGATCACAAGTTGTGGCCCCATCTACCCTAGGGGGTTATGATTTGAACAAACTTGAATCTACACTACCTGATGATGCTTTCTCATAACTTTCATCTTTACTGGACAGGTAGTGGTTCTTGAGAAGAAGATTTTAAAATGTCCCCATTATTTTATCTGTAACATGTACATGTATTTATCTCCCCTTGAAAGAGGGAGTGGCCCTTCGTTTGAACAAACTAAAATCACCTTCAGCCAAGGATACTTGGTGTCAATTTAAGACTGATTGGCAAAGGTCCAGTGGTTCCTGAGAAGAAGCCAAAATGATTGAGACTAATGACAAATGAAATTTGATTACATGTAAGTAATACTTATGTATTTGAAAGTATTTAATTACATTTCAAAGTATTACAATTGACCCCAACCCTGGTAAGTAAACATTTAAATATGAAGAAAAACATTTTTTCACTGTTTGTTTTAATAATTTAAACAGAAGAATAATTTTCAGGATTCTTTTTATGAATATTGTGACGAAGTTGATTTTTTTAGTCTATTGTAAATATTGTTTAAATGTTGTTATAACGGGTTTCCATACTGTTGGGGTTGTTTTGTTACGAGTATATAAAGGGACCGGTTTTGTCAGTGTGGTCAGATCGAGTTTGGAGTCCGGTAGAGTGACCAGCCGGAGGTGTGCCACGTTTGCGGTATCCCCTACATGATTATACAAGTGGCGAATATATTTCGGTGAGATATAGCACCGAATTTAACGGGTAGCAATATAACTTGTTAGGAGGACTATTGCAGCGTGCGTTTGCAGTTCTAGCCGGTAAGAGTGTTCGAATATTGTATATTATAGTTGGTTTATTGTTTTAATTTCCGGTTTCAGTTGTAATTTAGGTAGGTTTTGTAAAAGTAAATTTATTTCAGTGCGTAAGGTGCTGAGAGAATATTGTGTACATAGAAGACGGGCTGAGGGTCAGTTGACGACTGTTATAAGCATTTTAGGTCAGTGAGGAGCGTTGGATGGAGGGACAGTCGTGTCATGTCCAATCGTCGATGCTGAACAGGAGCCGATGTTGGTAGGATAATCGCAGTGGGAGGCGATAGACCCGGGGCTACGGTTGAAGCAACTACCACGTGGTGACGAGAGAACGGCATAGGTCTTAGACGTTCCTAGATGAGTGCTAATGGCGGATGCACGTGTGGTGTGACTTCCGGTGAACGTTTATAAGCAGTTGTGATATAGCAAATATTGAGTAACTTTCAGCCGTTTAAGAAAAGGAATTTATCTTTTTGAAATATATATAATTATTAACTAAAATTATTTGAGCTTTTTCGGAATATTATTTTAAGTCAATTTTGGTGAACTTTTCATTTGATATAATATCTGATACTTAATGAATCAGAATTGTAGAAGTTAATATTGAATTAATGTAAAGTATCGGAATTGATGAAAACTGAGTTAACAGTTTACTATTCCATTTATTTCATTTTCGGTGTGTGAGCCTGTATGTGAGAGTGAGTGAGTGACATAGAATTTGTTTGTTTTCTATTTTATT